TTCAGTTCAAAGAATGATCTAGAGAATATTCCTCACCTAATCTACTGCCAGGGGTCTCAACCTGTGACCTCCAGGTGTCTCTTTATCGCTAAGACTCAACACCGAACTGGGATGTTGTTGTATTAACGATTTGAGATGCTCTGCTCCGTTATACAAATTAAACAAGGTGTCAGCCACAAACAAACGAGTCACAGGGTCACTCTGTGCCCCTTGTTGACAACAAGTAAAAGACGCCAAGCTGAGACCCACCCGCTTACGTATGTTGTACCTTCAGTTTCCTTTGTGGGACCGCCTCCCAATCCACAGTTCGGAACCACCGGTGTCTTTTCACGTCCTCCGCTCCATTCTTCAGAAGAAACAGGGACACCATCAGCAGACAGAATTTTGACAGGACAGGAAAGAAAATATTCCAGAGAAGGTCTACTGTACTTAGGTTAGTGCGTGCGGGCACACACATGCACGCACACACAAAGTTTGCTATGTTTTGAGTAACTGTCCCTGGACCATACGCTATGAGGGGGACACCCGTCAATGAAGCCCTTTGTGTTTTATTCACTTTCCTTCATAGCAGAAAGTTCTGGACCACACATGAACGTGTGATGCCAGCTCAGGCTCCCGAGATAAAGAGAGAGACACAGAGTCATTTCTGAATCTGTCACCTGTGTTCATCTTGATGATTTTCTTTGGTATTTAGTATCCTCATCATACAGACATAGGAACCAAGGTTCACTGAAGGATGTAATTGGCTCGGTATTGGGAAGCTATTAAGTCACATGACTAGGACTCAAACCCACGATGTCCAACTTCACAGATCTTGAACAGCCACCCCCTCAGCAGTACCTTCCAATTAGAGTCTTAGTGTGTTTGTGGACTAGTAATGGTGCGCTAACGCCTGTGTGTTTCTCAAGTGTGATCCGATGGCCACGTTGCAGACACTGACGGCAGCATGGCCTCTGAAAACCCCTCCCAAGTGTCCGGCCTTCGACCCTCCCTTTATTCTCCCTTTTTATGCTCCTCAGAGCAACTTTTTTAATCGATTAAATGTTGGAAACTGCGGAGAGAGAAATACACGAATTCTGTGACATGGGAAGAAGCCAGTGGATCTGAATGTAACATTTCGTTTGTGAAATGTTTTACAGTGTAAAGTTCATATTTTTAACCTTTTCAATTTTTCATCCTCAAACAACAAAGCTCTCAATTACTGTATCTACAAAAGGAAAGACATGGTGATGTGAATTGTTTCCACTTTTTTCCTAATCGTATTATTTTGACAACCATTCCTCTTTCCCTATTGGGAAAAAAATACTCTCCCTTCACTTCTAAGTCAAACAGCAAATACCTGTTGAGTGTTACTGTGAGTGATGTGGAGAGAAGGCAAGTAAGATTGGAAGTTTACTCTCAAGTAAGTGAAACTCTACTATGGGTGGTAACGGATTATACTATATAGATAGAGATAAGTAAAGAGGTAGGTAGGTAGTTAGATAGGATGGATGGATAGATAGATAGATAGATAGATAGATAGATAGATAGATAGATAGATAGATATGATGGATGGATACATGACAGGTAGATGACAGGTGATGGATAGATAGGTGGTAATAGATATGATGGATGCATACACAGATAATGGATAAATAGATGATGGATGGATGGATGGATGGATAGATGGATGACAGATCAATAGATTATTGATTGATAGATGATGCATGGATGGATGGATGGATGGATGGACAGATGGAAGGATAGATGATGGATAAATAGATGATTGATTGATAGACGATGGATGGATGGATGGATGGATGGATGGATGGATAGATGGATGATAGATCAATAGATGATGGATGGATGGATGCATGGATGGATGGATGGATGGATGGATAGACAGGTGGAAGGATAGATGATGGATAGATAAATAGATGATTGATTGATAGACGATGGATGGATGGATGGATGGATGGATAGATGGATGACAGATCAATAGATGATTGATTGATTGATTGATAGATGATGGATGGATGGATGGACAGACAGATGGAAGGATAGATGATGGATAGATAAATAGATGATTGATTGATAGACAATGGATGGATGGATGGATGGATGGATGGACAGATAATAGATTGATAGATAGACAGATATACAGGGTGGATAGATGGATAGGTGGATGACAGACAAATAGGCAGACAGGGAGACAGGTAGAACACAAGGAAGAAAGAGTGCAGATAAAGGGCATTAACAGGAGAAAACCAGCAAGGTGGGCAGTGAACACGGAGAAAGCTGTGTGGAGGGGTGATTAGCTCACCACGGCTGGCGCGAGGTTGCACCATGAAGATCAGTGCACCCTAAGCTGAGCTGGGGAGGAAGCAGGAGGCCGCTGAACGCCAAGCTAAGGCCCTTGGGCTCTACACTGGGAACACACGCCCTTTTCCATAGACAAATGAGTGCGTGGATGGAGAAAGCCTACAACGGGCACACGTGCAGCGGGAAGCTACAACCACCACCCCGGAAGGCAGGGACACACCCTGACAAGGACAACAACACCGCACAGAACGGAGAGACGGTCAGCCTGGCGAAAGCACACACGTCCATCTACACGCAACCTGCACTAGACTGCTTACTACTCGGGAACATATTTTAATTTTGATGAGGCAGTCTCTGTAGCCTCTTCCAGCCAGTGTCCACATGGCGAAACCCCACCCAGACCGTAAGTCCTAGCTTGGATGTCTGTGTGTGCTTTTTCCAGATTCCCTAGGTCGGAACATCCCAGGAGGCCTGGCGTGGTCACTGAGCTCCTCCCGTCACGTTCTACCGATGGGGCATCTGCATCGTCCTTGAAGTCGTGGCCAAGGACCCTGCTCCTGGCTGCGTGTTTGTGGCATTACCACGGCACGTGTCCACTCGTAAGAAGAGGCTGCTGCGAGGACACATCCAGACCGCATTCCTGGACGGAGGGGCTCAGATGAAAGCCCGGAGCACCCATGGCCTAGCTCTGTGCCTCCTTCTCTGCAAACCCAAACTGCTCCAGGCAGGCCGGCTCACCTCCCCAGGGGCCAAGGTACCTAGAGAAGCACAGCAGGCCAGCCTCCTCTACCTCTATTTGGATGCGGCGCACCAGGGACGCAAGTGACACATGCATTGTACATTTTAACCGTCACCAGAGCTGTGTTTGATTGGAAGTCAACACACAGAAGCAGGTCCCGAAGACTTTCTGGGACACACAACACGCCACCCCTACGTTTTTAGCGAGATGTCCACGTGAAAGAATTATCTTTGCTCCTTACAGGAAACAAACACAAATATCATGTCGTTATGACGCACACCTGAAACCAACACAATGTTATGTCAATTACACCTCACATGGGAGGAGCCTCCTTGAAAACACAAACACAGGCAATATTCCGCCCCCC